AGTCTTTGGATCCAGTTCCCTGGTAGCATCTGTCTGAGAACATGCAGTCCTACCTCCCGTAAGCCGCAAAGCACTGCGGACACCCAACAATACACTTGGGATCTTTTGTATAGAAAGATAACAATGAAAATGAAATCATAGCGGTTTGACATTTGGGCTAAGAGCTAACTAATGATTTCCCCCTTTTTTATATCACCATGTTACTGTGTTGGGGCTTTATGAACTTGATGACATTTGCCTGGTTTTATGCCCATCTTTTTTGTTTGGAGGAATTGTTTATATAGCTATGTACCTCAGCCTATATATAAATAACAGTGCTTTGGAAACAAGAAATTTCACTTCCTGATCATACACGCACCTCTTATCCACCTCTTCTACACACCTGGTTTTTCTGGTAGGGTTGTTTACAGCACTTGGGACTTGCAGGTTTGTCTTCTGTTCATGGATAAAAGATTATTTGGAACGGTTTTATAAACATTATACACCTTGCAGCAAAAAGTAGGTCAAATTTTGGGCCTTGACTATATTATCCTATTAGTGAGCTCCACTTGTTTTACTTCATTTATTTTTTAAAAACCAGATACGTTTTCTACACATAGTGCAAGGACAGGTCTTCCAGCATGAAATTGTATATGGAACATAAAAATGTATGCTGGTAAACTATTTGTGTGTCTGCTTATTGTATTTTCAATGTCAGCTTGAAAAGATTGTGGCCAAACTTTCAAAATCTATCTGAAAATCATATGGTAAGCACTACATATTTGTTTTTTGATTTATTTTGTATGTTGTGAACAAAAAATTAAAAAATAAGTCAACACTGATTCCAGAGTAACCTAAATTAAATTAAAGTTCAGGTCTGGTGCAATCATGTGACAAGACTGGTAGATTCACAAAGTGGTGTATGATACATGGAGCACTTTAGTTGTTGGTTGCCAATCCTGTAGGTGGGACACTTTAAAGAAGTCTGGTTTTTGGTGGGTAGATACTCAGCATTTCTGAAAACCATGTCTATTTAATGCTTTGCACATTAGGAATAGGGACTGAACTTATACGTAAACTGGTATAAGTGATTGGAAGCTGGTTCAAATCTGTAACAGAAGAAGATCAGTGCACATAAACTGCTTTCAAAATGGCCAAAACCAGTTTAAGATAAACCTGGATGGATGTAGTATTAGACTTAACTGCTTTAGGTTAAATCAATTTATTGAACTTCTGTCCCAGATCTCTCCATATTTAAGTTAACTCACAGTCCTACAGCATCCCAGGATGCTTTGCACCTCCCCTGCAACACCCCCTCCCCTCTTTTCAAGGTGAGTGGGCTAGCCTTGGCCCAAGCTGGGGAGGAAGGCATACTCTAGTGCCCCTGTGCTTCTGGCCTGGGCCACTGCAGGCATGTGGCTGCATTTCCAGAATCAAAAGTCAATGTCTGCTTACTTGCTTATTGGTTCAATCTATGCAGCTTAGACTAACCTGCAAAGATTGAAATGATTCAACCTTGGGCTTTTTGACTGTCTGTACTTGGTCTAGGTGTCCAAAAATGGAAATCTTAAAAAAATGCTAATAACTTTTGAAAATCTTAATTTATTTTGTTATACTAAGAACCATAGTCCCACAGTAGGATAAAAGCATATATACCTGTTCTCTGTCACTTACACATAATTGTTGCTCACCTAAATTTAGGCATCAATTGTACCTTCATATAGCTATTTATTAATATTAATCAATGTCCACCCCAATTTACTTGATTTTTGATAGCCTACAGTCATGTCTTTCTTTAAGCTTCCCCTTAAATATTAAATTTGGTCATAAAAGTGAAGATCACATTAAAATATGCAACATATTGTTTTGCACTTAGGCAGTACAGTGTGAGTTTGGTAGTACAAAACTGTTATTTCTGAACATAGTCTGTTCCATTCCACCTTTGGCAATCCTTTCAGCTGAATGTGTTAGCTGATGAGTTTTAAAACATTTTTTGATAAAAGGAAGAGGTGTTACAGAAATCAGATAGGAAACATTTAAGAGAGGGTGCAGTGCTATACATAATTAATTAAGCACTCTTTGTTCAGTCAATTGTTAAGTTCTAAATAAAACACAACTTTAAAACCGAGATAAAAGACTTGGTAATTTCCTCTGCGTTTAGCCCAAAATAGGTTCCAAACTTGCTTGAAGAGTCACATTTTGTTTTGGATTATTGGTGTTCACAATCCCATTTCTATTTTTGGCTGCTTGATCTTTTTGGGTCTGCTCCTCTGATGGGCACAGTTCCTGGGAGTTTGCTCCGTCTGCTCTGTGCATTGCAGAACAGGGCACTGGGAACTTATGCTGGGCACAGGCAAGCAAATTGGGGCCATTACATCCTGGCTCTAAAGCTATGGAAGAGCAGCTTTGACTTGTACCAGCCCCTAAGCAGGACTGAGCACAGTGAGACTTTGCTCTATCCCACTCCAGCCAGCTCCAGCTACACATGTCCTCTCATATTATCATCGGGGTGGGGGTGGCTGGCAGAGGAGCCAGCTTTGTAACCTACACCAGCTGTTGCCTTATGTTTGGAGGGAATTTACCATGGCCATTTATGGCCATTTAAATCTACTTTGTTGAGCAGAGTTGTTTGAAAAGATCAGAGAATGCAGTTCATAGGCTGTAGAGACCAGTCTATTATAGACTCATACATGGGTGCCCCTGATGGGGAGACCAAGAAGTGTCCTATTTCTGCACTGTTCACGCTACGGACAACCATCAGCTTAGGCCTTCTGAACAGTCTTTGTATGCTTGGTGAACAGGTCTCCTGAAACTGGACAGAGATAAGGCAGTGTTATGGGCTTGCCCTGGGCATCAGCCTGCTGAGTGGTCCTGGTGCAACGGCAGGGGCAATCTGTACCATCTTAATGGATGGCACAGAGGACACAACATCTGATGTGGTTTGGCACTTCAAGAAATGAAGACTATCCCTTCACTTCTAGCCTTGTAGAGCACCACACTGGCCCTGACACTGGGCAGTATCACACTATCTAAGCCCTAGCAGTGGAAACATTCTGCTTGCCGGAGAGGAAAGAGATGCCCAGTTTGATCTTATGAGTGAACATTTCCTGAGTAAATTCTGAAACCATTGGACAGGAAATAAGCTAATAATGGGATTTTACAGCATACATTACCCATATAAGGGATTGAAATTTGATACAGGTTTGTTGCTGACCTTCTGGCTATTGATGAAACGTTTCAATTCCTTTCTTGTTTTCACGCACTCATGGTTGATAGGAATTTGCTTCATCTTATTTATGGCCAGACTGAGACTATGTCTCACTGTGTGTATGATGAGCAGCATGTATGTGGACAACTCCAGGAGAAGTCCAAGGAAGGACTAGTCCCAATTTGTTCTTGCTCTGCATTTTGGTGGTGGGTAGCAATTCCATTAACTCTTTACATGGGTGCAGTAGTGGGTTGCAAAGCCCTGCTCTGCCCAGCCCCTGCCTCTCACCATCTTTCCCAGCTCCCTGGAGGGAGGGGAAGCAGTAGAGCCTTGCCTCTTCCCCAGCATACAAAGGGATGAACTGGGCAGGCTGCCTAAGGTGATGGGGAGGAGGGAAGGTATGGCCCTGAGTCTTCTGCCTGGCCTTGTAAGGGCAGTGAGAATCTTGCCTTAAGATCGTGGTAAGTCCAAGTGTTATTAATTGGTACAGTGAACGTGGGTAACTAGGGCTGCTTGTACATGCCACAGGGATTTAATCTGGTTTCGTTCTCCCTAAATTGAAACGCTGGATTTTTTTAAAACACTGCTTCAATTTAGGAAGAATTAAACCAAATTAAACCCCTGTGGCATGTACACCAGGGTGGGGGCCCAATCCTTACCTGCCTCTTTGTGGGGAGGGTGAGCTGCTGGCAGACCAAGAGGTCCCTGAGCTGCGCGGGGGCCCTCCAGGTGGCACCCGCCCACTGGCACCTGACCAGAGTGGTCCCAGGGGACACTGCAGGTGCGGAGGGAAGCACCTTCCCGCACAGCTCAGGCAGGCTGGCAGGCTCCGGGGAGAAAAAAAAACCCACCGGGCCCCCTGTTTCTCTTTTTTCTTCAGTGGAGCCTGCCTGCACAGGCTGCCACTGGGTCCCACAGCCCCTGAGCTGTGCAGGGCCCCCCAAGCCCTGAGCATGTCAGCTTCCAGCACCCCATGCATTGTTGTACTTTGTTAGGTAGCAAACCAAAGCACCTTGGAGGTGTTTTATCTTGCTACATACCAAAGTAATTTAAAGCGGAATATGCTACTGAGCATGCAAACAGCAATGCCATTAAAGCGGAATGCACTGCCGAACGTGCAAACAGCAATGCCATTAAAGTGATGCAGAAGGGCTTTTAAGCCTCTTTAAATGCCAATTTTGTGGCGTGTACAAAGGCCCTAGAGCATTTCCATACCATCATTCAAATTCTGTTCTCACAATAAGATCCACTAAAGACTGTGACTGTAACTAAAATCAGAATTTGGCCTTGTATCTTTATCTCTGCAAGGTAAGTGTCATTTCTTGCCAGCTCTTATGCTACATTAGTTTAGCATCATCTACATTTCCAAATGCATCCTGCTTTATGGAATGGATTTTGCTTGTAAACCTGGGGCCTGGTTTTCAAAAGAACTCTGAGGTCCCGTTTAGGCCCCCAACAGCTTTCACTGACACATACTGGATTCTTCTGAAATGTATCTGGCCACATAGAGAATAAACTGGCTTAAAAAATGCTGCAAAGAGTGGATTGGTAGGCATAATTTTTAGATGGTCCGGTAGGTGAGCATGTTAAATCACTATCTGACTTGGTTTTAACCACAGTTCCTTCAGAACTAGTTCTCTCAATTTTTTGTCAATTGGGTACTCCACATACTGTCACAAACAACATTTTTTCTCTCTTTTTTCCCTGCAAAATCTGTTAATGAAGGATTAGTGCAGCTTAATGACTTCAGGGCTTTTGCCTAAGTAAGGAACAGATTTGACTCAGCTATGTGTGTGTTTATTTTCTTTTGTAGTGATATATTTGATGCCATGTTCCCAGTTACACACATCGCTGGAGAAACCGTCATTCAGCAAGGTAATTTCTCACCCTTTTTTTCCTTACAAATTTCCTAAGATATAATTTATGACTGTCTGATATATCAGAAAATAATGGGGCTAGAGATGTTATCATCCTTGCTTACGTGAAGGAGATCTTGTTCCACAAGTGCCCAAGTATTTACTTAGATTTAAGCTCTTTGAGGCAGACACTTTTTTATTACGCATACCATGCTTAGGGCCTGGTCCATGATACGATTTCCCTAGCATGATTACACTACAAACCATCCATTATACTACCACTAAAAAGGATCCCCACTGATTTCAGTGGGGCTACTCACTAAGTAAAGGACTGCTCAATCTGAGTAAGGTTGGCAGAATTTGGCTCAGAATAATTAAAAAAGGAAATATTTCACTGGGACTTACACATGCTTAGCACCTTATTGTGTCATGCCCACAGACTTGGTAACTTGCTTGCAAGTTTTAGACAAGTTGAGCAGGACCTGAGGGAGCTTATGTCTCTAACATATTTATGAGACAAATTATAAATAATTACTGCATAGTATTTTTGTTCATGAATGGAAATAGGTTCAGACATTTAAGGAAATGATCCTCTTATTATATAATCAACTGTGCAAACTGCAAATATGCATCGACTCCAATATGGAGATTGGCAGTTATTTGTGTAACCACTGAGCAGGCGTTCTGCAAACAGTCATCATTTATATTCTTGTTTCCAGGTGACGAAGGAGACAACTTCTATGTCATTGATCAAGGAGAAGTGGATGTAAGTTTTAATAACCTCCCATTTGGAAACAGTTTCTTTCCTTTCTGTTTTTAAGCCAGGCTGTTATAACAACGCTGCTTTTAAGTTTACATAGGAAACTTGTGCATATGGTACTTGCCTGCGGCTTGATCCATCCGCGTTTCTGAGATCATGCATCTGCTGCCACTGAAATGAAGGATCTTTGTCACCTTCCGGGATTGGTCTCTTCATTAGTCAATTTTTGCTGTAATTAAGTCATTTTGGCTTAATAAGTGGTATATTTTACAGCCAAATTTATTCAAGCGAATGACTTTATCTGTAGAGCAGTAGCCACACCTGTGCATGTGCAGCCTTTGGCAGAGCAGGCCACCATGATGGAATGTACCTGAGGGTCCATATGAACTAGGAGGAAAATATTTCCTTTAATCACCTAGCCTAGTACTTGTGCGTTTCTCCTCAAATTGAAAGAGTGCCTCAGGCCTCCAGTTCCATCTGAGGCTCCTTAATTTTCTTTTTAAATGAGCTCTGTGTAACCAAACAAGAGACTTTATTAATAAAAAGCAGAATCTTAAAAGCATGCAATCAGTTCTTAAGTGCCTACCAGAATTTGCTGAAGTTTTATCAGGAAGAATTGGGAAGAAACACTGAATCCAGTTTCTAAACTATGCACCTTTTATCAGTTTTACCCTAGGGAGCGTTATGAAAACCACCCCCTTTGCAACTTTCATCAGTACGGGCCTCTCATCCAAATGCATTCTTTGGGAGCCACATCTTACTTCTCAACAGTTGTTAGATTGGACAGGCTGTCTCATTAGCAGTGTTGCTATGCAGACTCCTAGATGAGTTTTGCTTGGATTATTTAAAGAAGGCAGTGATTTATTTTAAATCTAGGCAGCAGGCATGTGGCTATTTTAGTGAAAGTCATTTTTTTTAGGCTTTTGTTTGTGTCAGGAGACCATCTAATTGGTATTGTTGGGAACTGAGAAACCTCACACTCTGCCTCTGGACTTACTTCTCAGGAAATCCATGTGACTCACTGTTCCTATCAAACATTGCCACATCGGCAGTGCCAGAAAATAACAAGTACGGTATTTATAGAAACGTGGTAAAATTTATTTTTAAATGATTCACTTCAGGCACGGCCCCAAACTCATTGACTTCAGGGGCTTTGTTTTAGGACCATCATGATAAGCAGCAGATACCTAGGTACTAGCAGCTGACGGCAGTCTCTCAAAAATTACTGACACTCCCTTGGAAGCATAAGGCACCTTTTGTAGTATTTTCTGTCAGTCAAAATGGCTTTTGCTTCTTCAGTGACTCCCCACACAGAGCACAACTCTGTTGCACAACATAAATTAAGTTCTTGGGGCTTTTTGTTTCCTGAGAGAGTGATACATCTTCTTACACATAATCTTGACTGTATGTGGCCCAGGGTAGGACTAAAGTGCCAAGAGCATTTTGAATGAATGGCTGATTACTGAGTACAGGTAAACTCATCCTAGGCAGATTACCAGAAGGTTTTGAGAGCTGGTGAAGCTTCTGCAAAGGGACATTGAAAGTTGGTGAGACTCAGGCTCTTATATTCATTCCTAAGTCACTTTTGAAAATGGGAATGAAGTGAATTCATTTAGACATTCTTTATCCCAGGCCTACAGCCCCAATTCTTGTCTTGCTTTGACACACTGACCTTATTGACGTCAGTGGAAAAATGCATGAAAACTTTCTTGAACAGGGATGGACTTAAGCACGTGCTTAAGTGTTTTGCTAAAGTGAAGCCACAGTGAACAGTTTTCTCTTGCATTGCTGTCAAAGTTTACTTCTAAAATGTCCTTTGTGTTTGGAGGCTTTGCAGTCTCTGTCTCACTCACATGCAGACCTCTGTTGATACTTCCTTTTTACTCAGGAATGTATTGTTCCTTGCTAGCATCGTATAGTGCCAGTTTTTTGAGGGAATAAACTAAATTGCTGACTGCCACAGAAGTGGGGTTCTCTGAATGTCTTGTCACTGCATCTCCATTGGCATCCTCTCTTCCCGGTTCTTTCAGAGTTCCTTTATTCCAAAGAGAGATCATGTTTCGGAGGTGGCTAGGACCCACATCCTTCACACAACTTCTGTGCACCATAGGGTGTATGCTTTGGGCTCAGAGAGCGGTGGAAAACACATAAAATGGTGGAAAATATCATTAATGATTTCTGGTGAAACATTCTTGTGGAAATTATGCAACAAGGAGTAGGCAGTGGACATGGGGTATATGCAGTGAGGTTTATGACCCCTGGCTGGGCTCACTGAAGTTGTGTTTCCAGAGTCTGCAAAGCACAGATAGGTCTGTGACCCCAAGCCTGTGATCCAAGAAACAATATGCTCTGAATGTGTCAAAGAATGACAGGACACATGATTGTCCATGCCAATGGAAAGAAGCACAGTGACTGAGCTAGCAATTTCCATCATGGAAAAGAAAACCAAACCATACCAGAAATTACTTGCAGAAATGATCTGGAGATTTTTGGAGGAAAGAGACTTATTAGATCACAGGCAGTATGTAGGTAGAATAAAAGGGACAGAGGCTCCAATTAATAAGTCCAAGAATTATGATGAATCTCCTTATGGATAATTTTGAAAATTTATGAGGACCAAATTAAAAGGATAATCAAACACTGCATCCCCACCTCTGCACCTGCCAGGAGATAAATTAATAACTTTAATTTATAAGCAGTGTTATAAACCTGTATGTTTTCTGTCTATAAGCACTGGAGGTGTTGTGATGGAATAAAATACATTGCAGTATCACGCAGTTTATGAATACATTTGCCAGTTTGAGAGAAACAACGGGCCAGGGGGATTGTAAGAGAAAGTTTCATATCAAGCACATGAGGCTTTTTATTATCCTTTCTTTGACAGACCTGATGATTTAAGTATAAAAACTAGCAGCATTAAGGCAATAAAAGCAGACGTCTAAGGAAGTGGTTCTGTTCTCGCTGCTTGAATTTCAGGGAAATCACATCGTTAGTCAAGCAACGTATCGATCTGAAGAGACTAGGCAGTAGTGGTACTCTGTTGCTGATCAAGATAATTTACTGTGAGCAGTATTGTGGTCTGGTATCTCTAGCCCTGCAAGGTAGTAAAGGGATGGAGGAGGGTAAGTACCACCTTCCTCGCTTGCACAGCAGTCATGAGGGAGAGCAAACAGGAAGAGACGGCAATGGCAGGACCTTGTCTGTGCCACCGGTGCCCAGGGCAGTGTGGGGCTGGCACAGTTACTATTCCTTCACCACAGCAGCAATGAGACTGGAAAGGAGACTCAGCAAGCCGAAATCTCTCTTCCTGGAGGGGCTTCAGCAGCAGCACAATAATGCATTGCCTCTTATTCAGGAAAGATCATTAACTCCCAGTCTGGCCCTGTATAAAGAAAAACTTTCTACTAGGTAGATAATGGCTTGAGGCTTTAAGTCTCAGGAGTCAATTGTCTACCGGAAGCTTTACTATTTGGAGAAAGGTGGATGTGTGCCAAAAAGTATCTGGTGAGGCTTAAATTATAGTTTCCAGTAAAGATGTTGAAAGTACCTGTTAAAAGTATGTCTGTCTTGCAAAAATCTCTAATCCATATTTCTAAATATAAAAATGTCTTCCTGTTTATTATTTTAATCTTACAACCTCACATTTTTTACTTAAAAAAGCACTGCCAACTTTCCTTTTAAACCAGTATTTTAAAAAAACCCAACTTCCTATTCTATTTAGTACTGTAGCTCTCCATGCCATCATGAGCAGGTGTTTTCTTCTAGTAAAGCAACAGCAACCAAATGCGCCACAGTGAAAGATCAAGTACAAACCTTGCCAACTGCCTAGTTGGAGAGTATTTGTGCTTTTATAACCTCCTTATTTATCACACTCAAGTATTTTCTATAGCAAATGTAAGGGAAAAGTATAAGGAACGATTTTAGGCAATAGACCATCTTCTTTGTTCTTTTTAGGGGAAAGTGGATAGTTTTTAAAAGTCATAATTATTTCTACAAAGAAAACACCATAAACGACAGCCATGAAAGAGCCAGTGCATGAATGATACTGGGTGTTAAGAACTAGTTGGACTTTATATTAACCCTGATGTTTAATGAGATCACCTAAGGTTGCTTTTTTCTGAAGAGCTTCAGTATCCTTTCTGTATATTTAAAAAATACCTATGACCCCTCAAATGTCTCCAGTACTAATAGTTCCCCCATTACAAATACACCTTGGTATTTTCCAGTGAATAATTTAAAAAAAATCTGTAGAGCACAATCTCTGCTTTCTCATTTTCAGGATGTCAGTTGGAGTTTTGGGGGATTTTTTAGATGGTCCCAAGATCTGAAAAGACAGAACTAGCTTTTGAAAGAGATAATGAGCCTCCTTTCCACCTTGGGGAGAAAAAATATCAGCCTGCCTTCTACAAACAAGATACAGGGCTTTGGAATTACTGAAGGCAGAACCTAAGGGGAGTTTGAGATCTAAAAGGTGCAAAGGCTGATGCTTTCCTACTATATTGTTTATTATGTGAGGAGTCACTTGGATTTGCCTTTCATAGTTAGTACCCACTGCATATCACAGCCAGTGAGAAAAGGAATAGATGGGTACGATAGCACAACATTCATCCCATTAGCCTCCTGAAGGAAAAAGTACAAAATTAACTCATTTGGATGATTTTCTAGCCCACAAAAACGGCAGTGTTCATACCAAAGGGATGGAAAACAATAGAAATTCAGAATGCTTTTGATCATTGGAGTATGGCAGGCTGATTGCTTTTCATACTTGGACATCTGTAGCTGTGCATTCCTTTACAGCTACATGAAAGTAATAAGTTCTTACTGTCATACAGCTGGGATCAGCTGTTCGAGTAACAAGCCACAATGTTTGTAGTGTCTACATGGGTTAGGGTTTATACATACTTAAAAATGCATGAGCCAGATCCTCAGCCAGTTTGGGGAAAAGACAAAAGGAGAAATTTTGGACTGCTGCCACATAAAACTTCAGTTTTCTAAAGAGAAGGACCTAATCAGTAGGGATGTATGAAACAGGCTGTATTGATTTGGATTTGGCCTGAATTGGGGACAGTTATTTGATTCGTTGATTTGGATCACTGTCCCGATTCAATTCGGACGAATCCAAATCGGAAGATGTGATGCCAATTCAGAGAATCAGCGATTCAGCCATAGACACAGGTTTAAATGTTTTTTCTACATACCTTGAGTACCAGGCATGGCTTACCCACAGGAGCGTGGGGGGGCTCCCCCCACATGCTCAGCAGTGAACCTGGAAGTGGAGCGGAAGTGCTTCCAGTCCACTATCAGGTCTGCCTCCATGCACATGGGTGGCCGCCCTGCACCCTGCTGGCTTGGTGATCAGCCGCGGGGGGACCCCAGGTGCCCCCCAGACCTAGGAGGCACCAGTTGCCAAGCTGGGGAGAGACGGGGGGCCTCTCTGCATGCTCCCTGGCAGATGCGGAAGTGGACTGGCTGTGCTTCTAGTCCACTCCCAGGTTTGCTGCCGAGCACACTGGGGACCCCCCCCCGCACTCCCGTGGGACGCTCCATCCACCCCAGCATCTCAGTGTTCACAAGCTGCCTGGTACCTTGAGGTATGTAGAAAAATCTGTTTAAAACTGGGTCTGTGTCTGAATCGCCAAATCTTTCTGAATCTCTCCGAATCGATTCGGAGGGTTCTGATTTGATTCAGAGAGATTAAAGGGCCTCCTGATTTGATCTGGATTCGGTGATTCGGCCACCGAATTGGGCCAAATCTCCGCCGAATCGAATCAGCGACCGAAGCTTTGCACAGACCTGCTAATCAGGCCTTACTTTATATCTTGCAGCAAGAGCTTTCCCAGTTTCCTCCTTTTTTTTAAACGAAATTTTGTGGAGGGGGAGGGGGGGAACCCCTTAATGTGGTTGAACTCTTTGCTAAAAGAAAGGATGACAATCATACATCATCAGTGAATTTCAGCAGCATCTTGAAGGCAGAAGTTTATTGTTAATCTGGGCCAGCTCTGGAGAATGAAGTATAATTTCCTCTTAAAATACAGCGGATGCTCTTACCGCTGTTTTGTCTTCAAGAGATTGAGGCATCAGGTATTTTTATTGGAGAAGAGAGTGCTGCTCCCAAAGCCAGTGCCGTCAGATCCAAGATTTGATTTTATTTCGGAATACTTTAAATTTGATACACTTGGTGAGGGTGAGTGTTTTCACAAACTGTTTACAAGCTGCACATCAAACATGTTTTGCTGAATCTTGTCAAGTGAAATCGCAACATTAAGGATGGCTGGGAGTGGATTAGCAGTATAACTATTATATATGTCAGTACTTCCTTCACTGTGCATTGAGTTTCACCAGCTTAATTTTCTTCTCTGGTTTGCAACCACATGGCACTTACTGACTTAACAAGAAGTTACACCTTGCTGCTCAAAATTGTGGATGCTACATTTCCCATGTATAATTCAAAATCTGTCATTTCTGCCCTAAAGAAATAGTTATTGCATTAGCGAGTCATTTTACCGCACCGTGCTTTTTAGGCAATAACACAAATTCTCTTCAGCAGCCAGACATCATACACATCAAACTAAGGATGTAGTGTCATTTGGTATTCAGGGCAAGATCCAGTGAATTTTCCCATCGATTCCAGCGGGCTTTGGATCAGATCTTCAGTGAGGACATGGGTAGCCTCTTTGGATCAAACCACTGGGGGTGCATCTAGTGCATAATTTGACTTTCAGCTGGTTGTCTTTTCCTAATGCTTCAGTGAGAGGGAACAGAAGATGAATCTGGCCAGTTCTGCAATGATTAAATATTACAAGGATTGTTTTTTGTTGTTTTTTTTCTAAATACTTATTCCCACTTAGTTACCAGATTTTGCAGGTGCCTCATTTTTATTCATCTACATTTCCCACTTTGGCCATACTGAGTGCTCCAGATTCACCGTGCTACTTAGCTGTCTAAAGCTGGGGATTTTTTCTGCATGCAAAGTACTTGGATTTTTCATTCATTTTTAAAAACACTCTCATGTCTAAGTTTCTCGTCATGAGAAGAATTAGCAGTTGACTCAGTGCTCTGTTTGGTTTTCCTTTCATAGTTTATAGTTCAGCAGCTTGATAGGAAATGTTGCTACTGTTTGACGGGACATTTCCCTGTCGTAAGGAAGAAATTCATTTGGTGGTTTGTATTCCTTTTTTGGCAGCCTGGATGGCTGCTGCTTGCCTGTTTTGGTTTATTTTTACCCTTTGCTTCTGTCTCTTGGTTTCCGGGATGTGCCAGGGACACAGAGGCCTATACTATTGGCTCTTCCTCTGCTGCTCAGCACTTGCACTTGCACGGGTGCTAATACAACTCTCTTGTAGTACTTTTATTTATTCAAAGTTTTTCATCAGCTGACCTGTCCCATGCCTTGTAGGCCTGATCAGTTATTGGTGAAGGCAGTGTAAAGTCTCTTGTTGACCTCACTGGGAGCTGGATCAGGCCTTAAATTGTCACCGGGCAACACACACTAGGATAGATTTGTGCTATAGCTCAGTATAGATCTTTTCAGCACACAACAAAGGTGTGTATAGAATAAATCAGTTGAAAATTATTTACGTTTTAGAGAAAAGCATATATTTTTTCTCTAAAAACATATATTTTGGCAGTGTCAAATATGTGATTTTTTTTCATTCCTAGCTAATATGAGATGCTAATATATTTTTTTAAAGTTCCTTTACATCATCATTTGTAATAGGTTATGTGTTACTTTAGGTTTTCATTTTTGCTTTTTTTCCTATAAAAATAGAATAATTACATGTTCATTTTACTATGTTCACTTTACTATGTTTTTCTTGGCAGAGCTGTTACAGAGACAATATTCATTCTCATTGATTTCTATTGTTACTGCTTCATAATACATTGGGATATATTCTTCACTTGATGTATGCCTGCAGTGTCTACCAGGCTTTAAACTCATTGACACCCTGACGGAATAAAAAGGGTCCATTGTGGCAGTTTATAGTGACAAGACTGCATGCAAGTTGCATAATACACAATTCATAATATTCTTAGCATGCATTATAATGCCTCAGAAGCTGTACTGTCAGTGCATAGTGGGGGAAATTCAACCCAGCGTAGAGAATCCACAGAAGGCCCCTCAACTGCAGCAAACATTTTATATTGTGTGTAAAACTAGGCATACACCCTCTGCACCAAACTATACGTCATCCAGCAAAATACTGTACAGTAAGTGCATGATATAACATCTCTCACTCTGTCTACCTAGCTAACTAATCCAGATTTATAATGATCTATAGAAGGTTTGATTTGAAATTTTATCTAAAGGAGTTATGGCTCTTATACATATTATTGGTATAAGCAGTATCGTAATGGTTGTTAATTCAACAATGAGAACTTCTGAATACACATCTAGCTGATGCATAAAGGGAAGCAGAAGGATAATTATATTTACAGCTTATCGAATCCAAACTATCTGGTAACAACTAGTTGTACTGGGTGGAGCGGGGAGGAAGGAGAGTTGATAACCCCCTGAATTAACGTTTGGAGATAACATGCTTGCAGAAAAAAAGATCTCCCTTTTCAGAAGATGTTTTCCTTGTTTTGATTTTTTTTTCAGTTCACAGCTGTGGTGTTTTCCAACAAGCCTTGTTACACTTATCAGCCAATCTCCTTCCATTCTAGTTTGACAGTGTTAATAGAAAGCCAAAGTTGTGACAGTTCTGCTTTTTGGATTGTGTGAGTACTGAACACAAGAAATAAACCTGATGCCAATTAACCACAGGAGCTGAAAATTCAGAGAGTAAATACAGTCATTGTGCTGAAGCAAGAAAACTTGACATTCTGTTCACAAAGCAGGTTGTTGCCCTCTTTTGTGACTGAGCAAGGAAACTGTTAGACTATTGTCTTCTTTTTGTGCCTCCCAGCATTGACCATTAGAAAGGAAATTATTAATGGGTTTTTAGGTAACTGGCAGGAGAAAGAAAACCACAAATAAGTTTCCAAAGTATTTATTTTCTCCTTCTCTTTTTGTGCACCGCTAGGTTTATGTAAATGGAGAATGGGTTACCAGCATTGGAGAAGGAGGTAGCTTTGGGGAGCTTGCGTTGATCTATGGAACACCAAGAGCTGCTACCGTCAAGGCCAAGACAGATCTCAAACTGTGGGGCATCGACAGGGACAGCTACAGACGCATTTTAATGGTAAGTTTTAAATGTAAGGACCTAGTAAGTACTGGGTAGCAGTGAGAATGCTCACAGCATTCATATTCTTTGTTTGAGTTATACCAGTGCTAAAAGTTCTGAAACAAAACAAAGTTCACATTCAGACAACAATATGGAACTGAATTAAGCTCATAAAAGATAAAGGCAAAGAGAACAAAGCAGAAGTAACTTGGGACTTTGAGTCAGGGACGCTATCAGAAATAAGAAAAATAATGTATCAATAATTATTTAAGATTCTAGTGTCCTCAAGAGTCCCCCCATCAGTCACCTGAGCTGCCACCTGTACCAGTTATTGTTGTCAGGTACAACTATTGTCCTGTACCATCCCCTGAATATTTCTGTGTGCATACTTTATACTTACAGTGTAAAATCTTCTTGGCAGAACAACAGGATGACATCCTGATCCCATTCAAAGCAATGGGAAAATTCAGATTGACCTCAGTGGAGCCTGGA